TTGAACTTGTGTGTTGGATTAGCACAAAGAAAAAACAAAAATCTACCTCAGCAAGTACATTAACACGGCATAGAACAAGGAAAATATTAAAGCAGACAAAATTGGCATACACAGGCCTGGCAAAGGCCAAGTGGACGGCAAACGGCACACAACGGGCCCGGGGCTGTGCAGCAACAAATATGAATATAGATACGTCGGGCTCTTGCGCAAACCAACGAAGGCGGTGACGAAAGTGAGACAAACAGGGCGCTTGCACACCGCACACACCACCGTCCCCGTCTCGAATGAACAACAATCATGCCCGGTAGAAATAGTGAATAAATAGTATTAGTGGTAACAGAAATAAAAATAGGAAAAAGGTGTTCTGTGTCTGACAAGAACGACGCCTAGACCGGTGAACGCATGACGCGCTGCGGATGCTAGTACATGCCACCCATGCCACCCATACCGCCCATGCCACCCATACCACCCATACCACCGGCTGCGGGGCTTTCTTCCTTTGGCAACTCCACGACAGCGGCCTCGGCAGTCATCATCAGGCCGGCGACAGAAACGGCGTCGGTAATCGCCACACGGACGACACGGGTGGGGTCGATAATGCCCGCCTCAAACATGTTCACGTAGCGGTCACGCTGCGCGTCGTAGCCAACGGCGGCATCATTGGTCTCCAGAACCTTCTCCACCACAACGGCGCCCTCCTTCCCAGCATTCTGCACAATTGTGTGCGCAGGCAGACGGACGGCGTTGCGGATGATCTGCACACCGGTGCGCTGGTCCGCCGTGAGAGACGAGTCACCGAGCAATTTGTCAAGCGCCTTGCACGTGCGCAGCAGCGCCACACCACCACCGGGAACGATGCCCTCCTGCACGGCAGCGCGGGTCGAGCACAGGGCGTCCGTGATGCGGTCCTTCTTCTCGTTCACCTCCACCTCAGAGCCACCACCCACCCTGATCACTGCCACGCCCCCGCTCAGCTTTGCCAGACGCTCCTGCAGCTTTTCGCGGTTGTAGTCACTTGTCTCGGCGTCGATCAACCCGCGCAGCAGCTCCACGCGCTCCTTCACCATGGTGCTCTCCCCACCGCCGTTCAGCAGCACCGTGTCGTCCTTCGTAACCGTCGCCTTCTTCACACTGCCGAGGATTGCAGGGTCAAAATGCTCCGAGTCCAGCTCCACGCCACTGCCCTCCTCGCCGACAAGCTGTGCCCCCGTGAAAATCGAAATGTCCTGCAGCATCGCCGTCTTGTTGTCGCCGAAGCCGGGTGCCTTGACGCACATGATCTTCAGCTTGCCCTGCAGCTTGTTGAAGATCATCGTCGTCAGCGCCTCGCTCTCCACGTCGTCCGCAATGATAAGAAGCGGGCGGCCCGTGCGCACCACGTGGTTCAGTGCAGGCAGAATCGTTTGGATGTTGCTCACCTTCTTCGCCGACACCAGCACAAACGCATCCTCCAGCTCGGCCTTCTGCGCCTTCGCGTCCGTCACAAAGTACGGGCTGATGTAGCCCCGGTCAATGCTCATGCCCTCCACCACCTCCAGCTCCGTCATCATCGTCTTGCCGTCCTGCGTCGTGATCACACCGTCCTTGCCAACCTTCTCCATCGCCTGACCAATCAGCTTGCCCAGCTCCTCGTCACCGTTGGCGGAGATGGTGGCCACCTGCACAATGTTCTCGGTGCCCGACACCTTGCGGCTCTGCTCCGCCACGCTCTGCAGGATGACGCCCACCGCACGGTCCATGCCGCGCTTCATGTCGATGGGGTTCGTTCCCGTCGCAATGCATTTGAGACCCTCACTGAAGACGCTCGCGACAAGCACCGCCGAGGTCGTCGTGCCGTCGCCAGCAAGGTCATTGGTCTTGTTGCACACCTGACGCACCAGCTGCGCACCCATGTTCTCGAACGGGTCCTTGAACTCAATTGCCTTGGCAACCGTGACACCGTCCTTCGTGATCTTCGGCGCACCGTACGACTGCTCAATGATCACGTTGCGGCCCTTCGGACCAAGCGTCGTCGCAACGGCCTTCACGGCACGCTCCACACCCTTCTGCATGGACTGGCGAGCCTCCGTGCCAAACCGGATTTCCTTGCCGGCAAAACGAAAAGCAGAGCGAAACATATCGTGTGTTGAACTTGTGTGTTGGATTAGCACAAAGAAAAAACAAAAATCTACCTCAGCAAGTACATTAACACGGCATAGAACAAGGAAAATATTAAAGCAGACAAAATTGGCATACACAGGCCTGGCAAAGGCCAAGTGGACGGCAAACGGCACACAACGGGCCCGGGGCTGTGCAGCAACAAATATGAATATAGATACGTCGGGCTCTTGCGCAAACCAACGAAGGCGGTGACGAAAGTGAGACAAACAGGGCGCTTGCACACCGCACACACCACCGTCCCCGTCTCGAATGAACAACAATCATGCCCGGTAGAAATAGTGAATAAATAGTATTAGTGGTAACAGAAATAAAAATAGGAAAAAGGTGTTACTGTGTCTGACAAGAACGACGCCTAGACCGGTGAACACATGACGCGCTGCGGATGCTAGTACATGCCACCCATGCCACCCATACCGCCCATGCCACCCATACCACCGGCTGCGGGGCTTTCTTCCTTTGGCAACTCCACGACAGCGGCCTCGGC